CTCTCTGTTCAGGGAATGGCTTGAAGGTATCGACAGAATTTAACAGAATTTTAATGTACATGATTGGTATCGTAGCTAAATCCTGAAAACAAAACTATAAACCAATGACTTAAGAAGAGCTTTGACTGTAAAAACAGAAAAGGAGATTGGAATTCATTCTTAAACCGTTTTTTTAATACATCAGATGGATGAGTAGGTTTAGATTAGATATTAGGAAGAAGTTGTTCACTGTGAGGGTGGTCAGACACTGGAACAGGTTGCCCAGAGAAGCTGTGGCTGCTCCTCCCTGGAAGTGTTCAAGGCCAGGCTGGATGAGGCTTTGAGCAACCTGGTCTAGTGGAAGGTGTCCCTGCTGCTGGCAGGGGGGTTGGAACTGGATGAGCTTTAAGATCCCTCCCAACCCAAACCATTCTATGATTCTGATACCAATAAACTGGGCATTGGTACATTATACTCGATATGGCAACATATGTTTCAAGTTGAACTCTTAAATTTCTTTCCTATGGCATAAAAATATTTAACTATGAAAGAGAATGGGGGTTCAGACCAATACAAAATCTGATCTCCCTTCAGAGCCGTATCTGCGTAGTTCTTAGTGCTGCCTTCCTCTGCTCCTGGGAGTTGGGGAAAGTGAGGTGCTGTGCTAGTCGCTTGGGATGACCTGGGTATGACACACACCTTCCCGCTGTATCAAACCTGGTAATTCCTCTCTGCAAGATGTGGGGCAGGAGTGTAAACACTGATCTCTCACCTCCCAGATAAGTGATCTGCTCAGCCAGGCTAGATGATAGTCTGAATGGCGTTCAATTAATTAAATATTCATTAGAATAAATAAGGCAGTCCCAGGCTTCCTCTGCTCAGATAAGCACATGAACAGTTTGCTTGTGGACTCAAATGCTGTCTCTGCTCTACCCAGTATGTTTCATTTTCAACATCTCTTTTAGTCACTGAATCCATTAAGTTTTGCTGATGAAAACTAATTTCTTGCTGAAGTGTTTTGCTGGATTAGACTTTAAAGACAAAAGAGGGTGTAGTTCAGATCAGGCTTTGTGTGGGTTGCAGTTTCAATGGTGGAGAGGGAAGGTGCTTAATGAAGATTATTAGGAAGTTATTAAAGAAGAAAACAGTAGCAAAGGGGGAAGTCAGCGGGGAGTAGACGGAAGCTGGATTCTTGGTGCTGAATGGGAGTTGTCAGAAGTGCTGGGAAGAGCATAGGGAGTTTCCAGAGAGTTTCGACATGAAGAAGTATAGTTGTTTTTGGATTCAGATGCTCTTTGAGCAGATCACGTAGAGCTGCATCAACTGAGTAACGTAAGGACACCCACCTCACGTTGATGTTTCTACTTAACACTGGAGTTTTCAGTTAGTGGCAGCCTCCAGCTGTAGTTTAAGCTGCTTACTGTTGATAAGGTAAAGGACTGTCTTTGAGCAATGTTTAATTTACTCCTGCAGAGCTTTTGTAGATTAATGATAACAAACATCTACATCACTGTTGATAGGCTGTCTTATTATTTAGTCATGGTTGGTGTGTTCTGTTGCGTTTATATTCGCTTCTAATAAGCCAGAGGGAGGGAAAATTTGAAACTGGCGTGTGCAGATAGTACGTGTGATTGTATTTTCTGTGGTTCAGGATTCAGTCTTCTTTACTTTTTTGATCTAACTTTGTTTTACCCTTGATGTAGAAGCCAAATGCTGCTCCCAGCCATGGCAAGCTTCACCTGGAATAATTCATGGCAAATTTTGCTCCTGTCTGCTTGATCTAAATGGAGAATGCTGTTTTGAATAAATTCTCCTCCAGCACGGCTTACACGTATGAACCATTTCACTGTGGTCATGAAAAAATGATTTACGAATGTCACACACAAGATGTCTGCGCTCAGGGCAGAGGGCAAGATCCCGAAAGCCGTGGTAGGAGTTGTCTGTCCACGTGAGACCTTTTGTGAGGAACATCTTTCCGTGGCTGGGCTGGGTTCTGTGAAGTGCTCTCGCCTCCCACTGTGACAGTGGTAGAATATTAACCAGCTCGTACGGTTTGTCTGTATTGTTGGAAACAGCCCTGCCATTTCCGTATTTCAGCTGCCAAATGTAACTCATAAATGCTGATTAGATGACTGAATGGTTTGTAATTAACATGCCAGTATGTTATGGACAATAGGTTTTGCCACAGATGAAATTCTCACCTTAATCGCTGGTTTGTCTGAAGCAAAGGGAAACTTGTTGAAGTAAAAGTTAGTGTACTGAGTGGTTTTGCATAAAATTTGTTTGGATAAATCTATCAAATGCTTATTTTACAATTTAAAAATATTATTTAAAAATCTTAAAGATTAGAAAAAATCATTATGAGAGTGTTAGCATGTACCTTTTGAAATTATCCTTATAAATGAGCCCCAGAACGACGAGTCAGGTTGTTATAAACCCCAACCCCAGCCATGCCACTAAAATCCACAACAGCACTGCACTCTCCCTGATGAAATCCCACCTTCCCCTTCTTCCTCATGGTTACAGAGTGTTGCATCTCCAGAGAAGTGTAGGACATTCCAGAGAATAGCTGGAGCTATGTCCCTTGGGAATGATGGAGAAATGGAAATAGCCAGCAGTCAGTCACCTTCCACGGCGGGGTACCTCCTGCAGCACACCGCGCTGCCGAGGCTGGGAGAGGCATCTCCTCCTCGTGTGGGCAGCTGGGGCTGGCACAGAGTCACGGTGTTTCTGGCTTCTCGGGTCCCTCCCAGCCTCTGCAAGTCCAGCCTGCTTGGCTGGTGTTGGAGGAAGGGCAGGCAAATCCCTGTTTGTAAAGGAGTGAGGGAAATGTATCTGCATCAACCTTCTTTGGAAACGAGAGAGTTTGGGTATGTTAAAAATAAGCACAATTTTATCCAAACAAAACATTTTTAGGTTCTGCATATGAGTAGACCGTCCTTTTGAATATTATAAAGTATATTTTAACTTAAAATGCTCTGGTCTTCTCAGTTCTGAGTGTATTCTGCTGAGAACACACGGGTAACTAGATAAAACACTTTTACAGGGTATCCTCTCTAGACTGGACAGCAGGAGTTACATCCTCCACAGCCCTGTGGCAGTGTGATGTAGTTCAGGCAGGTTTGTCCAGCTTTTCAGTAAACTGAAAATGTGTCTTTTAATTTCAGACACAATGCTCGTCTTGTTTCCGTGTGCTGTACAACGGGAGCCGGCTCTGTAAGAACAATTCCAGCTGTGCCCTGGCACCCGGATTGTCACGGGACAGACCGAGGGCTCCGCGCGGAGCTGGGAGCTGCCTCGCCTGGGTCAGGGGAGGTCCTGGGAGCCAGGGCTGTGCAACTGCTGTGCAACAATGCCAATGGGCATTTGCTTTTTAAGTATTTTCCTTTTTAGTTTGAATTCTGTAGGTGTCAGTGATGTAGGAATCGGGCTGTGTGTTCTAGACCTCCGTACTGGCTCTTTTCGGTGTCAGGTTCTGTTGCCGTCGGTGGGTTCCCTTCCTCGACGTCCCTGCCTCACGTACACAGCGTGTGCGAGGAGGAGGAATCAGCTTTCTAAGGTTTCTGCAGCACTGACAGTTCTGAGATTTCTTAATTAGTGTGATTGCAGCTAAAACAGTTTCTTTTCTACTTTGATTTCTCTTTCCTGGTGCTGTTATGATTCACTCTTGGGAGATTTGGAAAACCGCTTCAGGCTTCCTAAACTTATGCAACAGTTCACAACTGGGAAATCTGACCTACTTCAGAGCTGCTCTTAGCCAGCAAGGAATGTCCCCGAGACTGAACTGCAGCAACATAAACTTCCCAAGCACTGCCCACGGGCTCAGGGAAGAAATAATTTGTTATGAAAATTGTAGATTAGTACTGCGAGGAAGAATAGAGAGCGTGCTGTAAACTAACAGATTGCGTTATTCATAGATTAGACTCAGTGGGAATTGTGCTTGCTTGAATAAAAAATTGGACGTGGAGACTTGAAGTGATGTGTACGACTTGTTGTAACTAGTGGTGGTCCTCAAAATGGGAGACAGCGTCCGAAATGGGTGGTAGACAGTGCTGGGAAAAAGAAGTGAAAGAATCTGTTTGAAAACGAACAAACCCGCCGCCGTTTATGGGTTTCTGTAATTTAAAAAGGCGTATTTCATTTTTCATTCAAGAATGTGCAGATATCCCACGTGGGCGTCTCTTTTTCCACAGGTGTCAATTAGGGAGTTTTGTGACCGTGTTTTGACAGAGCTGCCGCGCGTGGTGCTTTGGGTGTGACCTGATGGGGTTTGCTGGCAGTTCCTCTGCCCCTTTCGGTTTGGTGTTTAAGCAAAATACCTTCCCTTGGTGAAACGAAAAGTGGTTTAGATGCACGTTCATTTACACCAGCTGACCTCACTGTGGAAGGTGGGAGACTATAAGTAAGAGACAGTGTCTGTGGAGTGGGGACCTGGGGTCTCTGAAGTCCAGTGCGTCAGCTTTGATTTGTTTCCTGGTCTGTTGGCACTTACAGAAAATAGGGGCTACTTCCCTCAGACGTGCAAAGAGGTGATTGAGAAAAAACAAACTCTTAACAGTCCAGATTGCGTCCTGCCACACCAGCTGTGGTCATCTCCTTTGGGGTGAAAGGCCTTAAAACATCTCTCTGTGATTTCAGCCAGTGGATCTCAGTGTGTTTATAGCTGACGACGTACTCAGATTAATGTGGGGATCCACGTGAGCCTGAGCTCCGAGCGTAAAAGGTTTTAAAGTGCACTAATCACTGAAATGTTACTTTATTTTCTTCCTTGCAGGGCACTGTTCGAAGGATTATTATCGAGAATCCTGATCAGGTAGGAAGACTGTCTAGTGCTGGAGTTCTGCCTGTGTAACTCTCCCACCCCTAATTATCCCGATTCGGTGAGGTGCTCAGCTGCCTCCGTCAGGGACGCTAAATACGAGTCACTTTCTTTCCAAACAGACACACACTCAGACGTACACACCTTAAAGAACTATTGCAAAGTATCCGCGGCTTCAAATTCAACTTTTTAAGTCAGAATTAGTCTAATTCAGAATTTGCTGTTTGACAACATTTACAAATGTTTTTATTAAAATGTTTTACAGGAGCCGTTATCCCCATTTCTTAGAGGTGGGAATTTCTGTCCTGGAAATAATGTCATCTATGAAAAAACAATAAGGAAATATGAGCTATTAAATCCCCACCAAGTAAGTTCGTTGTTTATATTCTGTATTCCCCAAAAAACCCCAAAATTGAGATGGCAGCAGGAAAGCAACGTTCCTGGGTGGGTTTTGGGGTTTTTTTTTTTCAGTTGGGAATTACTGCCAAGGTGAGAACTGCCTCGTTGAGGAGTAGGATACATTCCCAAAGTAAATGAACATTTCTGTGTGTAAGGGGAGCAGAAGTTGGAATATTTGCTATATTTGTATGAAGAATTTGTTATTTCAGATTAATAATGAAAACTGCTGTTGTATCTCTAGCACTGTCAGTCTCTGTCTGAATACTGACAGAATTAGTTTCTTGCAGTAGCTCCACAACAGAACAACCAATACAAATTTTTACACAAAATGAAAAGACAGATTTTAACTTTAATTTTTCCTTTTTTTTTTTTTACTCATTCTTGAAAAAATATTACTGGTAAAGCTGTCTGAAATTTTATCTTAAATTGGTGCTTTGTCAATAGCAAAAATACTATTTCTGGTTTTTTATTGCTCTGAAACAGTGATATTTTTAACAGGAAAAATTTTGAAGTTAAAGTTGTTTCTGAGTGATTAATCCTGTCTGTTTGGGTTTTTTGTTTGTTTTCTTAATGGAAGTTTTCATTCCATTCTGGATTTCAGATAAATCAGGTGTGATATCCATACCCTGAAGTGGAAAGCAAAGAACTTTGAGCTAATGGAATCTGGAATTGCTGAGAGCATTCAGAGAGGAAAATGTCTTGAGCCATTTCCTGGGCTGAATTTTTTCCTAACTGAAATAACAAAAACCGAGTTCAACTGCAGCTCTTTTTTATTTCTCAAATACTTAATGAAACAGGATATACATGTGTTTAAAATTGAATAATGGAGATCCCCAGTGCCTGAGAATGTCAAGAGTAACCACATAATGAAACATACACCTCGGGAAAGCTGTATCTTCTGTGCTTTCTGTTTGCAGCTACTCAAATTTGGGAATTACAGCCTTGCAGTATGAAAGTGTGAGGCAAACTCATGTTCAGTTAGGGAAAAAAGCAATTTTAGGATTATTAAAATATCTGAAATGTCATCAGTCTTTCCATGCACAACCACGTTTCATTCATTTCTATATTCCTGTTAAGCTCCCATCTCCTGAAGGTGTGTCCAGCACCTTAAAAAGGTCAATTCTTGTTTCTAGGAGAAGCAGTACCAGTTTTCCCACCACTGCCAGATTCCCCAGCAAGCCGATCAGTGCCACGCTGCCCCGCAGTCCGAGCAGTCCCAGGTCACTCACCAGTGCCAGCAGACACAGACCAGCAGCCCCTGTGAAATAACTCCAGTCTGTGTGAGCAACGACTGCAGAGGAAATACAGTCAGGAGGGTGACGGTTCAGCCCTGTGAACCGGTGAGAGTCACTTGCTGAATGGCTTTTGTGTTGTTTTTTCCTTTATCTGGGAGGGTTCCCCATTGATTGAGTCAGGCTTCATCTGGGAGTCTTTGTGCAACAAAGATTGAGTCCTGTGAGGCTCATGTCTCTAGTTTGGGAGAAAAGAGACATTTCTTTTCTGCATCCAGTTCTGGAGCCCCCAGCACAAGAGGGACATGGATCTGTTAGAACAGGTCCAGAAGAGGGCCACGAGGATGATCTGAGGGCTGGAACACCTCTCCTATGAAGACAGGCTGAAAGAGCTGGGGCTGTTCAGCCTGGAAAAGAGAAGGCTTAGGGGAGATCTTATAGCGGCCTCCCAGTACCTGAAGGGGGCCTATAAGAAAGCTGGGGAGGGACTTTTCGTTAGGGCAGTTAATGACAGAACTAGGGGGAATGGCTTTAAACTGAAAGAGGGGAGGTTTAGATTAGATATTAGGAAGAAGTTCTTCACTGTGAGGGTGGTCAGACACTGGAACAGGTTGCCCAAAGAGGTTGTAGATGCCCCCTCCCTGGAAGTGTTTAAGACCAGGTTGGATGAGGCTTTGAGTAACCTGATCTAGTGTAAGGTGTCCCTGCTCATGGCAGGGGGGTTGGAACTGGATGATCTTTAAGGTCCCTTCCAACCCAAACCATTCTATGATTCTATGATTCTTTATAAACCAGACCTGCAGCAATTCAGGATTGCTTTCTATCTAAACTGATCAATACGGATTTCAAATATATTTCTATTTGATTGCAAGTATTTGACGTAGATCCACTGGAAGCACAGAGCTGGCTTCCTTCGCCTGTCATTTTGCAGCAGGTGGAAAGTTGTGGTTTGTAAGGGCTGCAGGAGGCTTTGCTAGACGTGTAGGCTGTTAGGTCAGCTGTGGGAGGGAGTGTAACAGTCCTGCCTGTTCATCTATTTAGGGTACAGTGGCAGGACAAACATACCTGTGACCTCAGTGTTAGTGCTACGTGGAATCTTCCACAGCCAGACGCCCCATAAACCAGCTGAGGTGAACTCCATTTGGGCTGCTGTTTAAATTCTTGTTATTGTTCAGAAACATAAACATTTTAACTTCAGCTGAGGTGTTTTAAGGTCTTTTTGGACTTAAAAAAGGAGGAGGCTTCTGTCAGTGCCCTACTCTAAGAACTTCTCAGCTCAGCCACTGGATACTCCAGTGCAAAGGCACTGAGTGGGGCAGTACCAGTACCATGTGTGCACTGGGGAATCTCCCACCCAGCTGGTTTTATCTGGGCGCTGCCCACAGGTGTTACCCACTGTAGCTACCACAGTGGGCATTACTGAAAGCTTACCTAATTCTCAACAGTTTCCATATCAGAATAATGATGATGGCATTGCTGTAGAAGACAGTACTTTGTGTCTTTCTTGTTGTTGTAAATGAAGTAATTTATTTCTGTCTGGTTTAATGAAAACCAGAATACATGGGAAATTCAGTACCAAGGAAAAGAACAGTTTAAACAAATTGCAAATTACTAAGAGCAACCAAACCCAAATCCATCGTACTTGTAGCATTCTCGTGTTCAGCTTTTGTCCTGAAGAAGGGAGCTCAATTACGATCTTCTTGGGTATCCTCTGCCAGGTGAATTGCTCTCAGGAAAATAACAACCAGCTGGACTGCCGCTACTTCGGTGAGCTGCTGGCTGAACTGAACCGCAAGACCAACGACTTGTACAGTTGTTTACTGCAGCACGTGGAAAAGATCGGAGGAAGGTACCGGTACCGTACCTGTGCTGTCACTCTGGCACTCCAGACACCCCCACGCTGCAGCTCACACAGCAGCGGTGCTTGCAAGCTGCCTTCTTTCTTTCTTTCCCTGACAGCTACAATTGTCTGTGTATTTCACACATTAATCTAATCTGCTGAGTACTGAGGACATAAAAATCTGTAAGCCAAGTGAATTTATTGAATTTGATGCTTTTTCAAATTGTTTAGACTCATCTGCAATAAGAATTACGTATCCCACGCCTGTTTGCACATAGAACAAACAAGTGTACTCACAGTGTGCTAGGACATAAATTTAATGACACAATTCTATTACTGTGCCCTGAAGAAACAGCTCAGATGTCCAAACTGGCATTTCCTTTCCTCTGTCATGGTGTTAGGGATTGAAGATGGCCATCGTGAGGCATAAAGCTCAGTATCTACATACACATTAATGTCAAGCATGTATCCTGCAGAGCCCTAGATTGGCTTTGAAAAGAAATGTCGAATCCCAGCAGCCAGTCATCTGAGCCTCCACAATGTTTTTCCCTTTCCCTCACCATCACCATTAATTTACTCTTCCCCCTCACTCCCAGTCTCGTTTCTTCCAAGTTCACTGAAATAAGAAACGTGGTCCCACAGCAGAGGAAAGGAGGAATTAAAGCATCACAAAAAACCTGACACTGCTAAGTAAACACTTGAGGCGTGTCACTGTGTTACACCATAATTCTGGGTAACCCATGGCCCGGCCAATTAGGAATATAATTGGGTTAACCAAGCATAATTGGGACAGCTGCCCAAAGAAAGGGAGACAGTCAGCCTGTGCTAACTGGAATGCTGTGGCTGTTCCAGTCTCCTCAGATACTTCTGTTAAATACGGAGTCACATTTAACGACTCGTGCTGCCTCGCACCTTAAGAGGAAGGCAACAGCTCTTGATCTGATAAAGACCCTTCCTTGCTCTGCATTTTAACAATAATCTTTTTATAGCTGTGAATGTGGATGTGAATCCTTAGTTCTGAACAAGCTTTGTGTTAATTGATCCCTTTGATTTTGTCTGTTTTCCAGGAACTATGACATTGAATTTACGAGTCAGGTAAGCATCAGGCACGCTCTCAGCAAGCTGTTCCCTGGCATGTAGTGACAATAACAGTGGTGTGGGCTTCAAGCAGATGAAGCCAAGCCAGCTGAAATGAGGGATGCTGGTCTTTGTTAGTTAATGATTCCTGCTTGTTAATAACATTCAGAGTCTGAAAGCTACTGCTAGGCATATATTTGCAAATGTGGTAATAATGGAAAGGAAACATCTATAATTTGCATTATTCCAGCATGAGAGTCAAATTTTAAAAGTCTTCCCTGTTGTGCCAATAATGGTTTCATTGTAAAACAAACTTACACAGTTTTATGTATTTTCGCTCTGCGTTTTCTGCAAAGGATCTTTCACTGTCTTGCAATAAAGCTGCTGTTCAGCCAGACGTGCTGCCCCGCGCTGCAGAAGTGAGGAATAATTCCCCTCACAGCTATGAGGGACCCAAGCTGGCAGGACACACTTCCCACTGCTCAGGAAGGTCCCTGCTGTGAGCTGGGCCAGGGCAGAATCATTCAGCACCTCTCTCATTTTTAAGGCACTGTGTATATGGCAGCAATGTTTGTCTGGGATTAGGCGACATGAAGCAGTGCCAGTAATCACTGCCAGCATCTCCTGGGACAGGCTGGTCGTCTTTTCTTTACTGACCGTCTGTTTTTTCATTAGAAACAAGAGATTGGCTATATCATTAACTGCTGGGATTTGCTTTAGCATGAGCTGTTTTCTTGAGAGAGGATTGTTTTGAATACTGCTTTTAAAATGAATGTTAAACTCAGTGATTTGAATGTACGCTTGATGTATCGCTTCATCTGCGTCTTTATGTGCCACACACACATACGTGAGACTTTGGAAGTTTTCTGGATGCACTTTGATCTCTTTTCATTCTTATTTGCCTTGTACTAAGTGTGTTTTTCATAGTAGAGCTGTATAACTTATCAAGAAACCACATTATGATCAGGCAAAATTCTTAATCAGGATGTCTCCCCTTCCCTTCTTTGCTTAGACTGAAGATATTGAAGATTTAATTCCTAAAGGACTGTCTGAGGCAACAAAGCAGCAGATTCGTTATCTCCTCCAGGTACGTGAGTGGGGTGAGGGGGTGTGTGGAAGTCTATAGTAACTTGAAACAGAACATACTTCATTCTGTGTTCTGCTGACTCCATTTTTTCTAGTGTAAAGGGGATGGGATCATGCAAGTGACTCCAAGTGACACGTTGTGGTAGTTGGTTCCAGAGATTATTCGTGTATTGTAACTGAGCTTTAACTGGCGCTTTCTTGCAGGGAAACCACCTTTGCCTTTTGACCCACCTGGGCTTCTGGCCAGTTACAGGAGAGCACAGATCATTCATCTTCACTTTAAAAGCTAAAGGCCAAGAGTAGGCACTTTCCTGAATGTTGACTCTGGATGTCACTGACCAACTACTCACAGAACGCTCGTAACTCAGGTCTCACCTTTTACAAACGTTCTAGTTAAAAGCCTCCAACACAGCACTAAGTCCTGAGGCCTGTTCATGACACTCAGTAACAAAACCTCACCATTTCTGTTTGGGTTCCATTTACAAAGGCTTTTGTGTTTCTCCTGATCTGGTTCTTTAGCTGCCTGATCATCTCAACCTGCCTTTTCCATCCCCAGCCAGATGGGTTTGGCTGTAAGGCGGGCAGACATGAGTGCAAGGTTCTGATAATGCTGTTCACTGTAATACTCTGCAGTGTGTTTTTCAGAAAAACATCTGACCTCTTTATGAAGTGCTTGAAGGTAGCAGATTGGAATTGGCCCTGCCTTTGTGTTCTTTCAAAATCATTTTTCTGCCTTCAAATATTAGAGATGCATCATAAAATGCCACAGCTTCTGTTTTAATGTGAATCAATACACAGCTGTTAGCATGCATTAAAGGAGCAGCGTGAGGCTGTTGTGCCTGACTGCCTTTTTCACCCAGCTGACTTTAATCTTTGGGATCTTTTTCCTTTTAAAGGGAGGAGTTGGTTGTATGTCTGCTTTTTTTTTTTAATTTAAATTTTTTAAAATTTTAATTAAATTCTCTTGCCCTTGGGCTGAAAGCATGCTTTGCCAGATCTCAAAGATGATGACTCATTCCTCTGTGGCTTCTCAGGTAGGGTAGTTATGTCTTTGTATCAGGGTAAGTCACAAAACTCTGAACACTCAAAAAATGAATCTGCAATATTAACACATTTATTTTTTCCTTTGTTGGTGTACAAATGCAGTTCTTTTTACTCTCTTGTTCCTTCCATTTAAAAAAATGTCATCCTGTGTTACAAGGCAATAACTAAAAAATTATGCCATTGGCAGAACAAAGTGCGTGACAGTGTGTTTCTCTGTAGAAACCGTGGGCCCTTGAAGAGCAGCGTGCAGTAGTTCTAACAGCAGAAGTTATTTTCAGCTTGTACCAGTTTTCTGCTCTACCCACTGTCAAGCACATTGTAAACAAAACACACTAATTAATCGGAAACATTGATTTTCATTTTTTCCCTCTTCTAGATGAGAGTGACATCAGATAAGTCTTTGAGACTTGTGCTTTCCACTTTCAAAAATTTACGTGAAGAGCTTTGCCACTTGCAGGATGACCTGGGGGTAAGGAGTGTTCTTCAGTTCCCAGTTGCTCAGTTTTACCTGTCGGGAGGAGTCTGTGAAGATGAAATGTAAATTGTGCAGTCCAGGGGCTTTAGTGGGAGTGACTGGTTTACTAATGCAGGACTCGTACAGGGGATGAGGTGATTCCTTCCTAGCAGCGCTTTAAAGTGTTCAATTTGTTGAAGCCTAAAAAAGCAAAAATACTTTCAAAGGAAGGGAAGACCCCGCTGAGAGAAATGAGGTGAAAAGCTCTGGACTGGTGCACACGATGCACAGATTCCTACCGTGGTGTAAATCCTGTGGATGACTCGTAACGCGCACAAGGAGCGTACGTACGCCCGGTGCCCATTCACCAGCGCTGCTCCAGGAACTGGGAGGCCTCCGTCCCACGCACTCCCAACAGAGCTGCATTTCCTGCTTCAGGGGAAAGCTGGTGGCAGCTGGTGGCTTTAGCAGCTCCAGCAGTTCTCTGGGCAGCCCAGTTTGGACGCTGGAGCTCTTTGGCTGCCGGCACAGACAGGAGCCAACTGCTGTCAGGAAAGCAGACACATTTTCCACAGCGCCGCTGGGAACGTGGCAGCGCTCTCCTGTCAAATGCAGAGTTTAGGGAGTGGAGAGGGAGTTTGAATGTGAACTTTAACACAGAGCAAGAAGCCCCTGCACTGAAGTGGTCTAAAGTTTGGGATTTTTGGTTGGTTTCTGTTTAGTAACTATGAATAATTCTTTCTGGGACAGACTGAAAGAGCAGTGTCCAGGCTCCCAGTGCTTACCACACACCACAGCCCATGATGGGCAACTGTGTGCTATGTGGTTAAAAAAACCCCATCATTAAGAAAACTGAGTATTTTCTCAGTTCCAAAACATCACTTACTGATTACTCAGTAATGCTGCACTCTGAATATGGGGAAAGGTCACTAAAAAACTGCAGCTATTGACTGTAAACCCCTTTTGTCTTACAGAAGTTAGAAATGGACACAGTCTTACTGAAGAAGGATTTGGCTTTTAAAGATTCTCAAGTAAAAGAATATGAAACGATGTTGGCTTCTCTGAGAGAGAATAATCGTCAGCAGCAGGTAAAGCTAAAAACATCTTTTCAGGGTAATTACAATCAGCCAAAAACGCTCCAGGACGCTGACTTCTGACTACTCTGAGTAACCAGCTGCTGCCTGGTGCACATGTGTGTATGTGTGTGATGCTGTTAATTACTGAAGGAACATTATGCATTGATTCCACTTCTGTGCTTTCCAGCAAGGACTCAGAGAGAGCACTGCAAAATGCCGCTCTCTGGAAGAACAGCTCCTCTCGCTTCGGCTCAGCGAGGGAGAGAAGGATTGTCAGCTGAAGGAACTGGAGTACGGCAAGCGTGCCTTGGAGCAAGAGATCCAGAGCCTGAGACTGCAGGTAAGAGGCTCGTGTGTTCTGTTATTCGCAGGTACAGATGCATTAACGTGTGACAATTAACAATAAAAATTCTCTTTTTAAAATGATAAAATATTTAATTTTCTGTAGAGCTGCTCTAATCCAACACTACAGACCACCACAGATGAACTCTCCAGCCGTTACGTAGAGATGATCAATAACCTGAGAGAGGATAAAGATCGTGAGATCCGCAGCCTTAGGGTGAGTTGTTTAACTTGGCACGTGTGTATTCCTCACCTCGCGTCACTGCACGTCATCAATCAGCTGCTTTTTAAATTAAGGAACAGAAAAGATCTACTGTATGTACTTTTTCAGGTATCTTTAGGTTCTGCAATTAATTTATAGATAAACACTAATGATGGCTCAGAAACTCTTACGATAGAACATAAAGCTGGGGTTTGAAAAAAACCCAACCCAACTCCTTAGATGTAGGAATCAGAGATGAAGCAGATAGTGATCTTTCCTAAAGGGATATTGTGTGTGTCCTGATAAAGTAAGAAACAAGCCAAAAGATACCCAACAGCAACCACAAATAAATCCCAGACGAAGCTGCATGTGGGGAACATCTCTCATGTGAATCGCTGTAGCAGTATTTTACCACCCTGGAAACCCAATTCGACTTGTTCAGTGTTGTGTATTGAGTTACAAAACTATTACATTGGTACTGGGACGAATTCAGTCCAGTTAGGACTTTCTGCATTTACTGTGCAGCTCAGCACTCTTATCTGAAATTCACTGGGTCTTTCTGTTAATGATTTTATTGAAAAAAATACACCCAGAGTCCTAGACAGAAACTGAAAGGTCACCTGCCTGGAGCACCAAACACCTGACGATTCCTTAACATCTGTTTATAGTCTCAGTTGTGCCAATTCCAGCAAGATATATCCAGGAGAGAAGGAAGTAACAGTGACTTGCAGATAAAGCTGAATGAACTGACATCGATGCTGGAGGAGAAAGATGCTTTTATTAAACAACAGCAAGAGGTAAAAGAACACAACTTATCTTCTAAGAATTTTTGTATTTAAGCCTCCACTTACTGTGCAGGTGGGAACTAGGAAGTCACTGGTACTCTCCTGGCTCAGCAGTCAGGATTGTGTTGAACTGAACGCTATTCCTCTGCAGTCTTTTGGAAGGACAGACCTTTTCAGACTGCTCTTTGAGAGGAATCTCTGCAAATACGCTGTTGTGACTTTAGTGAACTAACACTTCGGAAAACATTATTTCACTTGAATGTTTACTTTTGGTTTTCTCAGGACCTCTTCAGATTGAAGCATGAGAAATTATCAGGCAGTCAGTCCCCTGGTGTCACAGCCATCATCACCAAGAAGTAATGTAGTTATTCACCTTTCTTAAAATATCTCATTTTGATTTTCCATTGTATAATCTCTACTAACCAACTTCTTGCCTCCTGAAAATGTCTTGACACTGCCTGGTGAACTTAGAGGGGAAAAGATCGAGAGAGGTTTTCCAGTCTGGGGAGGATTCAACACTTAGCATTGTAATTGCAACTGGAAGGGTGGCCAGCATGTTCAAGTGACATTTAAATGACCGTCCTGGCTTTTTAGTGAAAATCTTTGGGGATTAATGACTGGAAGGACTATGTGGTAAGGTCAGAGTTAGGAGTCTGGATACAGGGATGCAGATTTCAATTTACAGGTTTGCAATTCCTTTTACTACAGGTACAGGAACCAGTATCCTATTCTGGGTCTCTTGTCTGATGACTACAAGGTGACATCACCCGTCAATAAATCACAAACTATTGTAATTGAGAGGACTGGAGAAATATGGAAACACGTAAGTTTATGTACAGATTGCCTGTTCAGTCTCTGAAATTCCCAAGTATTCCATTTAACTTCAAAGAAAGTATTAGCCAGAATTGACAGCTGAGAGAAAGCCACAGCGTTAATTTAACGTGGCTGCAGAAAACAAAGTGACTGATTAAAGTCAAGGAACTGCACTGTCTATTGCAAGAAAGCAGTAATTGTTGGGTGGAGTATAAATACAATAACCTTTCCTTGTGTTCTCTGACACGTAACTACCTTTAACAAAACCAGGGGTGTTGCTGGAACTCCGGCCTCTCCCCTCTGCCAGGCAGCGCTGTCTGTGCCGGGGAGCTCGGCAGGTGGAACTCTGTCCGTGTTGTGCTCTGAGGTGAAGGAGTGTTCTGGGTGGGCAGCATTCCTCTGAGTCACTGGTATTAATGACTTCAAACTATTGCTAAAACACATTTAAGCTCCACATCCCTGAAGCTTACACGGAGAGGGCAGTGACTAACCCAGGAAATGCAGAAGAGCGGCGACTTTTAAAGGAATGATTAAAGTAAAAATAGAAGAGAGGACAGCAGAGCGATTCATGGTGCAGGGCACAGGGTAACGCTGCCAAGTGGGAATACAGGGGAGGCCTGAGACAGAGCAGCAGGGCCAGTTCCCAGCCCTCTGATCTCAACACTGGAACCTGACAATGCTCTCTGCAGACAGAGATGGCAGAGTGGCACAAATAAGTGTTAAGAGAGTAGCTTTGTGGGGGAACATGACCAAGAAAAAGACAATTCTGTCAGCAGCCTGAGTAGATGAAAGGTAAAACTTCTGGCCTGTTCTCAGAGGATATGTTACCTGGAGTAGGATTAAGAAAATACAAGGAGAGGTCACTGGCAAACAGCAGTTTGATTACTGAGCTCTCACACTCATCCAGTTGCATTGTAACCCAGTGAAATGTCAAGGAATTAAACAGTAATAAAGAAATTACAAAAATGAAGCCAAACTCCCTCCCTCTTAGTGTACCTGAACAGTTACTCATGCTTTCCATTATAAAAAAAATGGAAGAGATGAGTGCACTCTGCATCTGAAGAGATCAGTATCATTAAGTGAGAACTGTTTGTATTTTAAGTTTCCCAAGGTCTCTATCAATCGCTAGTGCAAGTTTCAGCTGGACAGAATTACCTCCCTGCAAGATAAACTTGATAAGTGTGAGAAGTGCCAAGTTCACTTTTACTCCAAGCTGCACAAGTACTTTTTCTGTGTTTATGTACTGCCAGCCAAATCTTTATATAATCTGCATTCATTATTCAATAGTAATGCTGATGGGTATCTGCAGAGAGGGTGGGTTTTATACTGAAAGTACATGATACAGTCTTCCAAGCAGCGATTACTTTATCATGCTCAGCCCTTTAGGATGCTCAACTGAAAGTACTTAAATGTTCCTATTAACATTGATCCTAGTTATATTAGTTAGAGGAAACCTTTAGGGTAGCAATTTTATCATACCTATTACATAGGTATCTGGTAACTTCCTGTCCTTGGTTGTTTGCCTAAGTACAAAAAAAGCTCTTGTCCTTGGTTTTGTGTTCACAGGCGACAGTGAAGCATCTGCCCCTGGCTGAACAAAACCATTTACATGATGGGCCTCCGACCTGGCCAGTACTGGCCCCTGTACTGGCTGAGCGTTTGTTAAGGAGGGAAGGCTCAGTGGCCACTTGGGACACTTTGAAAGTCATAGAAAACAAATACCCAATTAAATAAGATACACTTTATATGCCAGGCAGTTTTGGTTTATATACAGACATAAGACTGTGTATTTTCTTCTAACAAGCTGCTTGTTTGTTTCAGGAATGAAAGAAATCCCTAAGCCATCAGAGCTGCTCAAAGGAGTTCATGACTACTCAAACTGCTTTACTTTCTGCTACTGTGCATCTGAAAAAGGTTCAGTCTGAGAGTGAGAGAGGCTGAGGAACACATGAAGGACATGGAATCATGAAGGTGACGGAGAACAGTCTCATCCTCCCCAGAAAGAACTCGGTTACTTGTGTCCATAACCTGCCACTAACAGCTGGGTACAAATGTCCTTTGTACTTTTTCATGCACTTACTTTTTGCTTAGGAGAGCGGTGGGCCGTGCTTTCATGGACTTCAGTTCTTCTTGACATGACTAACTTCTGTTCTTCAGCCAGTCCTGAAACAACCTGAGAGACAAAGGGAAGGAGCCTGAAACCTTCTCCTCTTTGTACTGTTACCCACATTCTTCCGTCCTGTCTGCTCCCAGTGAGAAGAGAGGCTGATACCATTGTGGGTCCCGTGCACACCGAATGGCTGGTTGCAGTAGTCACAGGTTGCCCTTTACTGCTGCCTGCTGAAGATGGAGCAAACCCCAGAAACACCCTCCATGGGGAACCTTAAAAATACCTCCCTGAAAAACACTTACCTTACATCTGCCTGTGTATGGGAAGCTAAAACCCAAAGGAAAATTGCTGCACTTACTGCAGATCGTACAGCTACTGAACTGGTAAACACCAGAGGTACCCAGTTCAGTGAAATGACTGGGCAAACAATAATTTTAAAGAATGTTTTTTGACCTCAGAGTTGATGTATTTGCAGCTGAACCTTTATAAGCCCCCAAACCAGCCGTAAGTATTTACTTGCTGTGCTTGAAATTCTCAAGAAATTTGTGTATTTTTACATAGAAAAACTTAATGCAATTTAGTCTATGACCCATTTTCATACTATCAGACCAACCTTCCATTTACAGTTTTTGCTCCTCGTAGGACCACAGAAATTATCTCAAAATGATCTGGTGTGAATGATGAAGTAGTTGTCTAAGCAACACAGTGCACAGAATCATTGGGGAAATTCTAAACTATGCAATCCAAAGGTGCTAGCTCTTATCATGGGATTCTTGCTTTGCTTTATTTCTGCAGACATATACTTCTACTCATAAATAATATATATCATAGACAATGTTTAAGAGCACTGTAGGCTATGTGTAACTACAAAATAAACCTAAGTGTAACTTTCTGAAGCATGTCTGTCTGTCTTGTCTGTCCTGGAGCCATCTGGTATCTCCCTGATAGGCTGAAGGGGGCTGTTTCAGGGGGTGTGATGCTGCCTTTATTCAACTTGTTCCTTAAAATAAATTGTTACAATAATTATTAGACTGTAAGATATCCCCCTCATTTCTGTACAGCAGTTAGATGGGGTGTGTATACACACAGAGGTCACATACTAATGACACAGAACAGTGTCAGTGTATTCTATCCCAATAAACAATGTTAGTTACACTGTCATCTACTGGCTTTTCACCTTTGGTGACCTAAGCAATAAAAAGAAATAAAAGAGGAAGAACACCACAACTGTGTAATCAGTTACACACAGATACCACTGCCATCACAGTGGTATCTGTGTGTAACTGTGCAGTTACCCTGATGGAAGGGGACACAAAATAATGTGGTGACTTACCGTGGTCTCTGCCATGACCTCAGCTGGGCTGGAGCAGGTGGGAGCATTACCCAAACAGCTCGGCAGAAGCTACAAACAGCAGAAACATGAGTTACTAATGGACATACTTACTGTGTGCTCATTTCAGCCACTGCAAGGGCTGGACAGTGTCTTTACTGACCATTCCACCCAGTAACACTAACCAATGTTACTTTAACTCTGTGACTTAACACCATGTCATAGCCTAACACAAGCAGTAACTGCCCTTAAAGAACAGAACCACACAGGCTCGCAATACAGGCAGAGCTGCTGGGCGTGGCGTCACAATTTCATACTTACAGAGACACCTAACATACAGAAATACTGCTGAAAAACAGCCCAGTTTGCTGATTAGGAAAGACAGATGTCAGTACTGCACTGTGCAGGACAGATCAGCTGTTCTGAGGCTCCTCAGAGTATTTTCAGACTTCATACACTGTTACCTGCTACAGAGCTGACTGATTGTCACCACATTTTACTCACAGACAACGTGAAGCAATAGATACTTGTCAAAAAGCTGAATTACACTAGGAGATGAAGCAAAATGCCCACCTGGGGCTGGTTCTGCTTTCAAACCAGATTTATTTAAAAAATAAAATTTAGTGGGTTTTTTTTTTATTATAAAAGTACATTTTATTTACTGTAGTCTCATCTATTGCCTCCTTTCTGTCAAACTGAAACTGATTTACCTAACATCATTTCTGCTGGAGTTTACAGAAACACATTTTTCTCATTTAGTCATCTCTGTAAATCCTAGTTAGCACCATCACGACAAACACTATACTTGAGAGAATTTTTCAACTCTGTTTCAGGTACGTCCACTGAGTCGTCCACATTTTTTTCAGGAACAAATTCAAAAGCTCAAAGACAGCATTTACTTTCTATATTTACAATATACATAGGGCCCCATTAGGTTGTCCTTATCAACAGCATTATTAAATAAACCCTCACTGCCTCTGCAGATTTGGCCACATGCTGAGTTCTCTTGTTCTTACACTGAAGAGTAGGAGAAAATTGTCTTCTCGTTTCCATGACTTTTCCGTGCAACTCAGTATGCACTAACACTTTATCTGCCTCAGCTGCAAAACAAAAGCCAAATACAGCCTGGTTCAGAAGTCACCAACATCTCCAGCATTCTGTCCAAAGAGTCAACGTAGACTTTGAGTTCCATGCCAAGGGAACTCACCTTTACCTTGAGAGTACTCTGCTGGTGTTTTTCTGCATTTTCTCTCTCAATTTCATCACCTTTAATTGTGGGCATTGGAAACCTGAAGGAAAAAAAAAAAAACAACACAAACCAGATGGTGTTTAAGATGTGAATCATTTTTAACTGCTCCAGCCTTTTAGGGAGTTCTTAGTCTGTCATTCAAATAAAAAACCACAGTAAACAAATCTGACATTTTAGAGCCACCCTTCCATGTGTTTGTGAAACTCGCTGCTTGCTCAAGCAACCAAGATGTGTTTGTCCATCACATACAGCACCAGAGAAGCAGGCAGAGGAGAGATCCAAACATGGTCAGCAACAGCTGAGCCACCTCAATGTGGTGCTCAAAGGTAGCAAAGAGCTGTACAGCACACGTCCCCCTTCCTTCTCCTGGTACTGGGGAGTGGGATCCTGTCACAGATGCTGGGAAAGGTCATTCACTTGTGGCAAAAGACAAGACATACATCAGCTTCAGTAAGGAATGTCTGTATGGATATACAACAGTCATTAGAAGAACAGAGATCATGTAACTTCACAACAATGATGGGAGACATCACTGAGAGTTTGCAGGACAAGTGATAAAACATGATACCACCAACTTCTATCATTCAATTCAACATGAAGACAACAGCCTGGCAAGGCTTACAGGTGGAGGTAGTTGTCTCTCCTTGCTTCCTACTTAGGAGCTCCTCAGCTTTGAAATGAGTAAGCAGGACCTGCCTGTAGAGCCCTTCATCCCATCCTGAAGGCTTCACCAGTTTGGGTCACAGAAGGCGGTTCGCTGCCAGCTCGGGGCAGGGAGCCAGGCAGGACACAAGTGCAGCCTATACAGAGCAGGGATCTGTGGAAGTTCTGAGATACAAGA